AAATAGAAAATCTGAATAGACCGATAACTAGTAAGAAGATTAAATTGACAATCAAAAATGTCCCAAGAAAGAAAAGGCCAGGACCAGATGGCTTTGTTGGCAAATTCTACCAAACATTTAATGAATAACTAATACCAATCCTTTTTAAACTCTCCCAAAATACTGAGGAGGAGGAAACCCTTCATAACTAATTCCATGAGGTCAGCTTTACTCTGATACCAAAACCAGATAAAGATACTACAAGAAAAGAAAACTACAGAACACTATTACCAATATGCAATCCTAGCACACTGGGAGGCCAAGGAAGGAGGATTGCTTGAGCTTAAGAGTTCGAGACCAGCCTGCGCAAGAACGAGACTTCATCTCTACAAAAAATAGAAAACTTAGCAGGCATGGTGGTGCATACCTGTAGTCCCAGCTACCTGGGAGGCTGAGGCAGGAAGATCGCTTGAGCCCAGGAATTTGAGGTTGCAGTGGGCTATGATGATGCCACTGAACTCTACCTGGGACAACAAAGTGACACTCTGTCTCAAAAAAAAAAAAAAGAAAGAAAGAAAGAAAAAGAAAAGAAAGATCAGTGGTTGCCAGGAGTTAGGAAGAGGAAGAGATGACTACGGGACATGGGACATAGGGGATGTTTAGAGCAGTGAAACTACTATAATGGTGGATGCAGGACATTAAGCATTTGTCCAAACTCATAGAACGTACAACACAATGAGAGAACCCTACCTAATGTAAACTAGGGACTTCAGTTAATAGTAACATCAATGTTGGTCCTCAGTGATAACAAAGGTACCACACTAGCACAGTATGTTAATAATAGGGATGGGGCGAGGAGTATATGGGAATCTCTGCACTATCTACTCAATTTTCTATAAACTAAAACTGCTCCAAAAATAAAGTCTATTAATTACAAAGAAATTCTATTTGGAAATTCCATGGTTGTTTCAATTTTAAAGAAAAAATGGGGGTCACAGAAAGCAGATCAACCCCAGGTTGGAGTGGGATTACCTGAGAAGGGGCACAAAGGAACTTTCTGGAGTGATAGAAATGTTCTGTCTTGATTTTGCCTAGGCTGGTAGTTGCAGGGTGCAGATCTTTATCAAAACTTACCACACTGTTCACTAAAAACAAATGCACTTGCTTGTGAGTAAATCATACCTCAATAAAGTTAAATTAAAAAAAAATAGTGTCATCAGGTAGAAAAAAGCAGGGCCCCCTCTCTGGTTTTGTCCTTGGGGCACAGACTCAATAGACTGTTTTTCTTCCTTATATCTCTTTCCCAGTTGCGACCTCCCCCTGGCTGGTCTTCCTTTCCCCTGGAATGCAGACTTCTAACTTCTGAATTCTCCCTCTCCTGAAAGCGGCTGTGCTCTGTGGGGCCCCTGCGCAGACTCTGTAGTCCAAGGCCCAGGTGAGACCAGCCTGTCTCAGCACACCCGCCCCATGCCAAGAGCTTGGGGACTGCAGTAAGGTGCAGATCTGTCTGCATCCTCCAGGGACTCAGTGTGGGGGTAGGGGCTGGCATTCACCAAGTGACCCCACAAACATGTCCTTACCCTACAGATACCTGCCTTCCAAAAAACAACAGCAGGTCCTGGTTCACAGCTGCTGCCCCCCACCATCAGCCACCCTGACATCTGCTGGAAGCCATTCACCATGGGCGGCACCAGGAGGCTGCTGGGGGTTGGAAGGCTGGCTGAGTCCCCCACCACCACCTTCCTGCACCAAGTCCCCCAACAGCCTATGTGGACTTGTCAGCTGCCCCCTTCACAGTGAGGAAGTCGAGCACAGAGATGCCAAGTGAACTGCCACATAGATAGGCCCAAGTGGGCAGCCTGGCTCCAGCACCTGCAGCCTCCCTCAATAAAGAGCTAAGATGAATTCTAGCCAAAGGTCATGGAGCAATTCCTGTGCCTGGCATTCTGTGGGCTCTGCGCCTGCCTACAACCTTCATCCTTCCAATTGCTTTGCAATACGAGCATGACCATCATCCCTATTTTCAGATATGGAAACTGAGGCACAGCAAGGACATAAGGAACCTGCCCAAAAACTGCAGCCAGTTACAAAGTGACAAATCCGAGGTCAGGACCCAGGCACAGCAGTGTTGAGGGCCACTTCTTGACATCCAGACTTTCTGCCCTTCCAGTTAACATATTAAGAACCTATGGTCAGCTACGTAGGTCTGCTTCCTGCCAGGACAACAGCAGGCCTGAGGTTGTCCTCACCAGCGCTGCCTCCCTAGCGTGTGCTGTGCTATGTGCACAGGGCCAGGCACACAGTAGGAGCTCACTAAAGAGTTCTGCAATGAACGGATGCAGGTCCAAGCCCCAAGGGCAAGGACTGTAGGTGGACAGCAGCCAGCATCCTGCCGCAGCCTCCTACCACCTTGCGAGCCACTAGCCAGGCTGGGCCTCTGCTGCAGCAGCGCCATGAGTCACTGCAAGCCATGAGTCACTATGAGCTATGAGTCACCTGGTAGGGCAGCACAGTCCAGGCCCTGAAGCCAAGCTGTGTGGCTTGGGGGCTCTGCGCTTCCTGTGGTTGCTTGTGAGTTACGCACACATACCATACACAGGTGGCACTTGGAAGCACAAAAAGGCACAAGAAAGGAAACTGCCTTGGTGCCAGGTCCTGATAAACAAGTCCCCAAACTGTTTTTACAGGATAAAGGAAGATGGATCACTGTGGCACAAACCCACCAAGCCTTCAGCAACTTGCCACATCCCCTCCCTTCTTACCCAGCTGGCACCAGGACCATGGACCCCCAATCCTGTCACCCCAACTTGAGCCTCCCTCTTCGCAGCCCAGATGGAAGCCCTCGGCCTGGCATCCCAGGCCCTGTGAGAGCTGGCCCCACCTACCTTCACTCGGCCCTCCAGGCCCCTGAGCCTGGCAGCCCCCAATAGCATCATACTGCCTGGGACCCCCGCCCTGGGTTGAGAATACCTATTTCTGTGGTTTCCACGTGGTTAATTCATGCTTAGCTTGCTGTCCCACCCCCAAGAGGCCTTCCTGAGTTCCTCTGGCCCCCAACCAATTAGAGTCCAGACACTTGAGCGTCGACCTCCCCTCCTGAATTGCTTCCAGAAGCTGTTTGTCCCAGTACCTGGCTTAGCCAAGGTCACTCACTCCCTGGCACACCACAAGACAGGTAACTTGTCAAGCACTGCCAACACCTTCTCAGTGTTCCATAGGTGTCAGCCCACATATGCATGCTCGCAGCGAGGGCTGGCACAAGGTAGGCCCCCAATCTGTGCACAGGGGCAGTGAGCCCAGGACTATGGGTCTGTAGTCTTGCAGGGCTGTCCAGCTGACCCTCCCAGAGCTGTACTCTCTGGGCTTTGGTTCCCCATGCTGAAAATGAAGGGCTGTGAGGGGTGTCTCTAGGCCCAGTGAATATAGACAGCAGGGAGAAAGGTGCATTGTTCCCACTCACTCTAAAAGGTGAGGCCCCTGAAGTCAGAGGCTTCAGGACCCCTGCCTGGCTGTGGTCTCTCAACTCCAGGGTCCCTTTGTGCAGGAAGGGACCAACCTCCCACTCCTGAAATGGATGGTGGGGGCAGGGGTGGACTGCCTCAGGCTCCACCAACTCCCAGTCCCTGGGACAGGCTCCTTGGAGGCCAACACAGCTCTGTGCTGTGTCCCACACAGCCTGATGAACTTGCTAAATGAGCTGGAGAATCAGGGCCTGGGCAGGGCACAGACATGGGTGCTGGGGCTTTTGTCCTGGCTCTGCCATTCACCAGCCCAGTAGGCTGGGGTACCTGCCCAATTTGAGACTTTGTTTCCTCACTCACACAAAGACATGACATTCCACATGTCCCCATCTGACCATTCTGGACAGGAAGCACCCAACACAGGGCCAGTGCATAGTAGGTGATCAAAAAGGGCAGCCACAATAAGAAAGCTCTGTAGGGATGACAAAGGGCACCACGTAGCAGCTGGGGTCTTTTCTGCCCTGGTGTCTTGGAAGTCACCAGGTTCCAGCCCATGAGATCCCATTTGTGTGCAGGACCTAGGCCAAGACTTCAGTAAGCACTGGGGAGAGATGAGTGGGGACTTTTGAGCCACACTGACCCTCTGGGCCACCCCTGGCCCTGGATGACTTCTGCTCCATGAGATGAGTGAGACCCTCGGGAATGAGTACAGCTTCTGGGAGCCCCCGCATTCCCTGATCAAGCTGCCATAGGGTTGGTCACTGGCCCATCACCCTCCTGGGGCTTCCTCAACCTTTAGGGGAAGGTCTGCAGAGCTAGGTCACCTGGCTTGTCTGGGATCAGGTGTGGGGTGGGCAGGTTCCCAGACCAGAGAGGCCCTGGGGGGGAGGAGGGGGCTGGGCTGGGGCCACAAGCATCGAGCACAACAGGCTTGGGGAGTCCAGTCACCGTCCACAATTTCCCTAGGCTTGTCCCCTAGGCCTCTCCAGGGACAAGGGGTGTGGCTGGGGTTAGTAGGCACCCAAGGGAGCAGGGGAGGCACCACAGAGTCCCACCGGTACCACACACTACCCAGGAATGCATCACCTGTCCCACGTTCTCATCGGGGTGGCTGGGAGGATGGAGCATTGTATCTTGGTGTCAGAATCACAGCAGTCTAACTGAATACTCGCTGGTGTTATTTCTACCACTTCCTACTCTCTCAGACCCAATTCCCACCCCCAGGACACCTCCCAACACAGAGATTTCAAGTGGCTGAGCCCAGATCGTGGCCGTGCAACTTTGCTCCAGGAGCTGCCCTGCAGCCTCCGCCCTCCTGGGGCTCCGCACCTGGTCCCCGCCCACCGTGCCAGGCAATGCCCGCCCCAAAGACACCCACCACCTCGCGTGGCTGCACCCGCATCACCATTGACAGCTGAAGGGCCAAGGTCACTCAGCTCCCCCAGCCAAGGAGCCGCCCGTGGGCGATACTCGAGGCAGCCGGACCCCTGCCCGTCCCCCGGGCTGGGAAGACGGGACGCGCGTCCCCACCCTGGCTGCCTAGCCCGGCCCCGCGCCCACCTGTCATGGCGGCGGACACGGTTCCGTCTCGCCTTCCCCCGCTGTCCGCCCAGCCGCGTGTCTGGCCCTAGGTCAGCCGCCCGGCCCACCAGCTCCGGTGACCGCCGCCCGCGGGCCGTGCTTGGACCGCCCCTTCCCGCTAAGCCGCGCCCTCTGAGTCCGCTGTGTCGCCGCCGGGGCTCCAAACCCCGCCTCTCACCGAGGCCGGTTCCCTCTAGCGCCCGCTACGTCGCAGCCATAAGCCACGAGCCCCGCCCCTTCCCCCTAGTCCCCGCCCTGGCTGCGACCGCTATGGCGCCGCCCGGGCTCTAAGCCCCGCCCCTCGCTCGAGACCCGCCCCCTCAGCGTCCTGGGCTTGGTCGCCGTGCAGAGCTCTGAGCCCCGCCCCTTCCTGCTCTAGCCAGCCCCTGCTGGCGATACGGCGTCTCACGGCGCCCTGAGCCCCGCTGGCGTGGACCACGCCGCCACAAGGGCTTTAAGCCCCGCCTCTCGCTCGAGCCCAGTCCCTCCTCCAAGTCCCGCCCCCAGCACAGCCTCTCCCGCGGTCCATGCGCACCCCTCCCCGCCGCGCCCCTTCCGTCCTGGGCCCCGCCCTAGGCCCCGCCCTCCGGGCCGCACAGCGCCAATAGCTTGGCTGGGATCCAAGCGCCCGCCCGCTGCCGGCCGGGTCCGCCACCCGGTCCCAGGCCACCGCGTCCCAGCCCGGCCATAAGGAAACTGAGAATCCAAGAGGGGACGTGACTTACCCAAGGGCATGCAGGAGGTCAGGCCGTGGGGAATACAGGGCCAGGCCTGGGGCAAAAGACCGGTGGGCGTCCAGTAACCCACCGGATCAGCCAAAGGCTGCAGTGCCCAGACAGTGGCGCGGCGCCAATTCAGGGGACAAGTCGGACTCAACAGCGTGACCTGGGTGAGGCAACCTCCTTCTTAGGGGCCCGCAGCCTCCCGCCCCCCACCTACAAAAGGGAACACTAGCCTGGCAGTGTGACCCTAATTAGGGAGGTCATTTAACTTCCCTGAGCCTCAGTTTCCCGGACTTTAAAATGGGTAGCCTCGGGCAAACTCTCCATCTTCCCTCCTGCTTTCCCTCAGTCACAGGCCTGTCCTTTTCAGCTCTGGCGCCCACCACAAGAAGCCCCCAGTCCCACATGTTACGAATGCGCCTGGAACCATCCAGGAAATGGAGACCTGTGGAGGGAGGGGAAGCAGAGCCCCCACGGCCAGCAATGGCGGGCAGGTTTTTCGGGCAGGTTTTTCGTTTTACCTGTTTCCTTCCCTGCTGTATCTGTGGTTCCCCTATTAGCTTGTTCTAATTCGAGATGTTAAGCCTGATCCGGAATGGGGACCCAAGCTCAGTGTGCACTTCTCCTACAGCACAGTGGTCCCTGCGGTCGTGCGCCCTCCATCTCTGTGCCTCAGTTGTCCTCTGTGCTATGACCTCTCATCATGGGTGGGGCATCTAGAGAATGGGTGTGGTTGTTGCCTGGAACCCCAAAATCCCTGGGCCCAGTTGTGGTGGTAACTACATAGAAGCGCCCCCCGCTCCCCAGGAGAGCACGTGGGGCAGCTGCGCTCAGCCACGGGGCCCCAGACCAAGGGCCAGAGGGCGGTGTGTGCTAGCTTGTGGGTCCCTACTGGCCTTTCATCTGTGTGTGTGCATCTGGGCGAGTCCAGACTGGCTCCAGGGTGGGAGACCCTGCACAGACCCCATGGGGGGCCTCCCCAGAGGGCCTTTTGTCCCACAGTGGGACATGGCCTGACTCCAGTTATTCTGCGTCCATCACAGTGTTACAACATCTACCACTTACCTCCCTGGATTCATTCCATCCCCCAGGAGAGATGTGAGAGCCATAAGGGCAGGGACTGGGTGGAAGGAGGACACAGTGGGGACATTGGGGGGCTCCAGACTCTGCCCACCTTCAGGGAGCCCTGACCCCAGCCTCTTCTAAGGAGGCCAGCATTCCACCTTCACATCCACTCCTGCACCCCTAGGACCACACTCGGCCATGTGATAGATGGGGAAACTGAGGCTCAACATTTGTGGAGTTCCTCACCCAAGTTCTAGCAGCCAAGATGTGGCCTCCTGGGTGCAGGCCGCTGTTCCTTGGCAGCCCCAGGGGTTGTGGAGGATTCAGTCTAACACCCAACCCCTGTGAGCACACCCAGGTCCCTTGGAATGTGCCCCCCAGGCTTACAGGGATGAAAGGCTGAGGCACAGGGCAGGATAGCCACTGGTCCCAGATGCCCACTCCAAGGGCTGCAAGCAGGCGGGTCAAAGGGTAGGTCCTGGGTGCTCCTCCCATCCAGGCATAGTGCAGGCATCCTCCCTCCTGCAGCTGCAGCCATCTGAACCCCAAATGGAAAGTAAGGTCCCGCAGGCCCAGAGGGTGGGGGTCCAAACTGCGAGGGTGTCAACTGAGGTTGCCTCCCACCCCTGGAGAGTGACTGGAAGCCCTGTCCTTGGATATTGTCAAAGAAAAACAAGAGCTAGACAGTAGTTACAGTCGTATTAATAAAAAACAGATTTTATGCAGGATTCTTGAAATAGAGGAAAAAAGACCTCAGTGTAGAACTGGGCTCAACTCCAAATACAGCAAGGACAGTGGGGATTTATAGCTAAGGAGCAGGGTGGGGTTCAGCAATAGAAAGTGTCTGAGAGGAAGCATCAGGGATGGGGGGGTTCTGGCTGAAGACAGGCCAGGGTGAGCAGATGCCACCTGGGGGTGGTGGGGGCTGAGGAACCCCATCAGATGCCGAGGGTGATCAGATAGTGAGGGTAGGGGGTTCTTGCTAAACTGGATTTTACAAGGAAGTGCACAGATGGGCCTAGGAGGAGGGTCAGGAGCCTGGTTAAAGTTTGGTCAAGCAGAGAATTTCTATGTCACAGATGCCCTGGCCCTGATACCCCTGACACTCCTCCCAACTGCCTCCACCTTGGTCTTTTGCTTCTTTTGAATTTTGTTACCATGACATGCTTTATCTGATGAGAAACACAACGTAAAAATTACATAGGGACAGCTCATTGCCACGTGGGTTCTTCACACCAGGCTGGGCACGGCACTTCCCTGTGATTTTCAAGGGCCGGCCCCTTCCTTACTCAGGCCTCTGTGCACCTGCCCCTTCCCTACCTGTCAGCTCTCCCTTCCAAGTGCAGCCCTGCTCCCACCTCTGTGACCGCCACCCCATCTCTCCCCTGGAAGGTGGCAGCTGCCTTCTCATTGGTTCCCTGCCCCACCGGTGCAGGTCTGACCTGAATCAGACCCTCCTCGCCCTGGCTCACAGCCTTCCTGTTCCCCTGGCAGCCACCTCTGCCATTTCCAAACCTTCAGGTGTGCTGTGCCCTCTGCCCAGAATGCTCTTCCCAGCTCCCTTCCTGACATCCTCACTGCCCTGGGGCTCTGCTCACTCCCAGCATCTGTTCTTCAGAGCACTGTCCCTGCCAGATGAGAGTTTCCTTACTGACCATTGTCTCTGCTGCAGCGTCCACTCCACAAAGGCTGGCATGCAGTAGGCACTTAATTAATGCACATGAATAACTGTTGATAACTTGGGTGAGGGACAGGAGGTCAAGGACAGACACTGTAAGACAGAATGATAGGGCCAGGGTGGCCTTCCTGAGAGGCTGAGGCTGAAGACCGGGTGATCCCACGCCAAGGGGAGGCGGGAGGTGGCCCCCGTTGGCTGTGGGAGGCCGGCAGGGCTGGAGCTGACTGTGACTGTGCAAAGGGGTGATGGTGGATGATGAGGGGCCTGAACACTGAGGAGGAGCAAGGACATTCTCCTCCCAAGTTCTCACATGGCCAGGGGCTACCGTTCACCCATTCATTCACTCATTAATTCATTCAACAAATGTCTCTAAACATGTGCTCAACCTGGAGCTAGATCACTGGGAAAGCAGAGGAAGCCATGCTCCCCTGGAGCCTCCCTGCTTCCGGAGGACACAAACACATCTGCGTGTCAGTGCTGGTAAGTGCTATGAAGGAGAGTCAGGCAAGGAAAGAGGCAAAGGATGGCTGGTGCAGCCACCAGCCCCCAGTGATCCTCACATCCTGGCTCATGCCCTCATGTAGTCTCCTCCCTTGATGAATCAGGCTGGTCTGTGTGACCAGTGACATGCGCAGAGATGATGATGTGTGACTTCTAAAGCTTGGTCACAGAAGGCATGTGGCTTCAGCCTTGTGCTTTTGGATAGCTTATTCTGGAATGAACCAGCTGCCATGTTATAAGGATGCTCAAGCAGCCTGCAGAGAACGCCATGTGGGGAGGAACTGAGGCCTCCAGCCAATAGCCGGCACTACCTTGCTGTGAGTGAATCACCTTGGAAGTGGATCCTAAGCCCCAGTCAAGTCTTCAGATAAGACTGCAGCCCTGGCTGACACTTGACTGCAGTGTCATGGGTGACCCTAAACCAGAACCACCCTGTAGGGCTGGAATTCCTGACCCACCAAAACCGTGAGAATAATAAATGATGATTGTTGTTTTTTTTTTTTTTGAGACAGAGTCTCACTGTGTTGCCCGGGCTAGAGTGCCATGGCGTCAGCCTAGCTCACAGCAACCTCAGACTCCTGGACTCAAGCGATCCTCCTGCCTCAGCCTCCCGAGTAGCTGGGACTACAGGCATGTGCCACCATGCCCGGCTAATTTTTTCTATATATATTTTTAGCTGCCCAATTAATTTCTTTCTATTTTTGGTAGAGACGGGGTCTCACTCTTGCTCAGGCTGGTCTCGAACTCCTGAGCTCAAACAATCTGCCCGCCTCGGCCTCCCAGAGTGCTAGGATTATAGGCGTGAGCCACCACGCCCGGCTGATGATTGTTGTTTTTGAGCTACCACATTTTGGGGTAATCAGTTACATGGCAATGTACAATGAGTGTGCTAGACATCTGAGCAGAGGCCTGGCTGAAGTGAGGGTGCTACAGGATAGAAGAGGAAACAGCTTACGCAGGAGCCCCAAGGCAGGAATGACTTTTCTGTGCTTGAGAGACAGCCAGCATGGCTGCCGTGGAATAAGGGGACCAATAATAGGGAGAGAGGTCAGGAGGTGACACAGGGTCATGCAGAGCAGGCATGGAGCCCATAGTTTGAGGGTCGTGAGCTGGGGGAAGGACGTGGTGATCTGTTCTGATTTGTATCTTTTTAACAACCCTCTGTATACACAAAAGAACTGAAAGCAAGATCTCAAAGAGCTATTCGTGCACCCACATTCATAGTTGCATTATTTGCAATAACCAAAGGTCCATCCACAGATAAATGGAAAACAAAATGTGGTCTGTCCATACAGTGGAACATTATTCAACCTTAAAAAGGAGGGAAATTCTGACACATTATAACATGGATGAACCCTGAAGACATTAAGTGAAATAAACCAGACACGAAAGGACAAATACTGTATGATCTCATTATATGAGGTGCCTAAAGTAGTCAAATTCATAGACAGAATGGTGGCTGCCGGGCACTGTGAGTGGGGAATGGGCAGTTAGTGCTTAATGGGGATAGAGTTTCAGTTTGGGGAGATGCAAACGTGCTGGAGATGGATGGATGGATGGTGATGGTGGCACAACAATGTGAATGTTCCTCCAGGCAGGAAGCAGGGGAAGGTCAAAGGGCAAACCCTAGTGACTTTTCTCAATGGCCAGAGACAGGTTACATCCCAAATTATGGCAGGCTGGAGGTATATTTTCAACTGGCCCAGGACAAACATGGGGCTCAGAGGTGAGAGAGAAGGTGGGGCAAGGAGCTACAAAATGAGCTCCGGGCTCATCTTATTTTTAAATTTTATTGAAAATTTTTTTTTTCAGAGACAAGATCTCACTGTTGCCCAGTCTAGAGTGCAGTGGTGTAATCATAGCTCACTGTAGCCTTGAACTCCTGGACTCAAGCGATTCTCCCACCTTAGCCTTCTGAGTAGCTGGGACTGATTTTTTTTTTTTTAATTTTTTTTAGAGATGGGGTCTTGCTTTGTTGCCCAGGCTGGTCTCAAACTCCTGGCCTCAATATCCTAAGTAGCTAGGATCACAGGAGCACACCATTGCTTCCCGCTGTCCGAGCTCATCTTAAATGGAAGCAAACGAGAGGCATGGCATCAGGCGCAAATGTCTAAAGCCACACCTGCACGGGCATGTGTATGCACACACAGGTCCGCTGTACAAACCACTCCCTCTGGGACTGAGGCTGGGAGGGCAAAAGCTGGGGTTACCTTTTATAAAATTGCTTTGACAAATAATTGGATTAAAGGTGATTGTGATGGTTTTAAAGCATGTCCGCGAATTCTTTAGTATTCCTCCCACCTACCAGTGGAGTCTAATTCTCCTCCCCTTGATTACAGGGCAGCCTTCACTCATAATGAATAGTCAGGCGTGACTTCAGAGGATGGGACCCGAAAGGAAAAACAGCTTCTGCTTCGTACCCACACTGTGATTCTTACCTTGGAAACCCGCAGCCATGTTGGAGGATGCCCAGGCCACGTGAGGCAGCCTCATGGGGATGTTCTGGCCAAGACCCCATGAGGTCTCTGCTGACAGTCAGCAGTGACCCCAGACATGTGAGTGACCCAGCCTTCGATCTGACCACAGTGCTAGCCACCAGCTGACCACAGCCACCGTGGGCAACTCTGAGTGAGAACCACCAGCTGAGCTCCAGCAAGCTCAGCACTGAGAAGTGATAATAATAAACAATTACAGTTTAATGCTACTACGTTTGAGGTTTTGTTATACAGGTCGAAAATCTGGACAGTGATTTTCACCTTTGTATTTTTCAGTATTAGAAGTAATTCTTTCGTTTTATTTCACCCCCTCCCTTGCACCTTTGCAGACAATGGATGCAGAACCCTGGGCGGGTCCCTGCTTCAAAGCAGCACATCCTGTGGAGGAAGATGCTGAGGTAGCCATCTGTAGTTGCTGAAAAGAAGTTTATTGTACTATACGAAACTAGATGTGCTAAAGCTAAAAACATCTCCTAGTCTCCTTAAAGGAACCCTAGCTGGAGGGAGGCTGCCGCTGGTATCTTAACCTCAGCAGCGGTTTCAAGTAAGCCATAACTATAAAAATCACCACAGCTGGGCTCCCTTGGGACAACACTCCCTGCTGGGTCCTCAGCCTTCGGTGTCAGCTTGGCCCCGAGGGGTCCCTACACCTGGAAGCTGATGTCACTGACCAATCTCGAGCTGGACACGCGTCGAGTTGTAGTTGACTGGCTGGTGGGGTCAGCTTGGCCTTCCCAGGGTGGAGGGTGGGCACTGCCGCACTGCCCGGTCACCCTGGGGTGTATGCTGCAGGCTGTCTCGGCGTTGCTGCGGCCAGCCCGGAGGCAGGCCGGGTCTGTCCTGGGTTCACTGAGTGCACCATCACCTGGGCTCGAGGTGAGCTGGAGGGGCCGCTGGGGCTCAGAACTCTGGGCCCAGGAGTCCAGGGGTTCTTGTCCATGCCGTGGCTCACACTGGCCAGCTCGCCGGTGCTCTCGCCGTGGTCTCTGTGGAGAGAGGAGGCATGAGCTGGGGGAAGAGTGGGGACAGGGGTTAACCCAACTCCACAACTTCCTAGGCACCCAGGCCTCAGGCCTTCAGAGAACCTGGAGCAGACCAGTGCTGAGGGTTAGGGAGCCCCCATTTCCTCCTGTCAGAAGCTGTCCCATAGCCTGAAACACAGAGAGGCCACTACACCTCCCTCCCGGGCCCTCCCTCCCAGGCCCTGCCACAACCTGGGCCTCAGGTCCCTTACATATACAACCAGGGGGTGGCCAGGGGCTGGCTGCTTGCCTTCCTAAGGTGTGGGAAGGGGCTTTCTGGGGCTTATCCAAATGCTACATAAACTGCCAGGAGCCCAGCTGCCTGGCCAGGGCCTGGGAACATCCCAGACAGAGAAGGGACACTGGAGAGAAGGAGCATCAGGGGAAGACACCTTCCTTCCTGCCCTCTTTGGTGGCCTGGAGCTGGATCACCCACCTTTTATGCTTTCGGTACTCTGTGACTCCCCTGCCCTCCGAAACACAAACCAGGCCGTTCTTTTTTTTTTTTTTTTTTGAGACAGAGTCTCACTGTGTTACCCGGGCTAGAGTGCCGTGGCATCATCCTAGCTCACAGCAACCTCAAACTCCTGGGCTCAAGCGATCCTCCTGCCTCAGCCTCCCGAGTAGCTGGGACTATAGGCATGCGCCACCATGCCCGGATAATTTTTTCTATATATTTTTAGTTGTCCAATTAATTTCTTTCTAATTTTAGTAGAGACGGGGTCTCGCTCTTGCTCAGGCTGGTTTCGAACTCCTGAGCTCAAACAATCCACCCGCCTCGGCCTCCCAGAGAGCTAGGATTACAGGCGTGAGCCACCGCGCCCGGCCCAGGCTGTTCTTCAGGCTGATCAGATCTTGGCCTGGCCCCTGTCCTCCAGGCCCTGCCCCATCTCTGGCCTCCACACACACTGGCCTCTGCTCCCTAGAGGCTGCCTGACTGCTCCAGCCTCCAGCCCTTTGCTCGCTGTCACCTCCCCTAAGATGCTATCCCTCCCTTCCCCCAATGCAGGCTCTCTCAGTCTCTTTCCTCCAGGTAGACATCACCTCCGCCAGGGATCCTTCCCAGATCACTGCTCCCATCCACGCCTAATTCTCAGAAAAACACTGGAAGTAGAAGGAGTTAAGAAATAATCTATTGGTTCAATGAATAAGGGAATGAATCAATTAATTAATTAGTGGAGAGGAATGGTAGCTTAGTGGACGTTAGAGCCAGACTTTGGACTCCAAATCCAGCTTCACTCTTACCACTTGTGCTTGAGTCTACACAAGTTTCTTAACCTATCTGGTTCCTCGCCTGTAAAATGGGATAAAAGTAGTACCCACTCCCTGAGGTTCAAAGAGTTAATATTTGGAAGAGTCTAGAACAGTGCTTGGTATATTGCCAGTGCTAAGAAACGTTTATGAAATAAAAGCAAGGTCAAGGGGCAAACCTGGCCTTGCTAAAGGCAATTTACCACCTATCCAGGCAGTCTGGGCCTTGTCTGTGGGGTGGGTGGCCCCAGGACCTGCTGATGCAAGGGACCCTGCCTCCCTTGTGCAGTGCAGCCCTGGGTGGGAGCACCTTCTCTAAGTCCCTCTCAAGCTGGGCTGTGCTGGGGGTCCCCACGTATGGGAGAACTTGGTGGAGAGGCTCTGCCCCAAGAACCTCCCTCCTTCCCCCTCACCACCTACTTCCTGCCTCTTGAGCTGTACCAACTAGAGCTGACTATCAGAGCGGCCCCCCAGCCAGCCTCCTCAGGGCAAACCCCTCTCCCTGGGCTCACCCACTCCCTAGTGGAGGTGAACACAGTTCCCTACACAGGTCTGGCAGACATGTGGCCCCAGGCGGCACCCCTGGGAGCCCCTTGGCCTCAGGCTCCGGCCAGCGAAGCCCCTGCAGCAGCAACAGCTGCCGTCTCAGCCACCCTCATCCTGGACATCAAGTTGCCTTGAGTGGCAGCCGTTCCTTGTCCCATTCCACAGACGCTTTCCCAGTTATGACACAGGGTGATCTGGTTGCCAGGCTGTAATGGGGATGGGGTGTCATGGGGCGGGGGCAACAGACAAGCTTTGACACCAGCCTTGGAAGTCTGACATATAAAAAGAAACGAATTAGTCAAAACAGCCCCAGCAAAACTAAAAGAAAAAGGAAAAGAGCCCGATATACTTGCAGCCAGTTGACAGGTCAGGCTCTCTCCCAGAACATACACAGAGCTGCCGGTATTGTACAAGAAAGACATTAGCAGGTAATTCAGCAGAGAAAACAGAAAATGACGAATAGCAGTGCCACTGGTGACCCAAGGTTCCGAGAAAACATTCCTCCTCAACATTAATCAACGAAATGCCAACAAAAACTCCCTGTGTAACTTACACCTGCTACATAAATAAATAAACAGGAAACGAATTGTTAGTACTCAGGGATGATGTGGTTGTTGTCAAACTATGAACTAACTTGTACTGGAGCTCCCAGAGAAAGAATTTGGTAATAAAATATTTAGACTATTGGCCTAAAAAAATCCATTCCTGGGACCACCCCCAAGATGTTGTCTCAAAAGAGAAAAAAGTACTAAGCACAAAGGCGTTGACCACCCTGACCGCTCAGTAATGGGCGCTGAAGACTTTGGACAGATGGGTGGTCCTAAAGAATGAGACTCCAGCTTCAGACCACCAGGCGAACTGGAAAGTGTTGCTAAGTGGGAAAGGCTCCATGTACTGTTTCGGCTGCCACCTGGATGACGCAACGCCCACCTGAAGCTCCAGGGAGGAGATGGGAAGTGGATCCCTCTTCTGCAGGCGTCCACCAGAACCAGCATGGCGCACACAACATAGGACCACACAGGTCACAAGCTCCAGTGTCTCAATTTCCTTGTCTGCACAAGGACAGCAGGATTCACTGAACTCTCCCAGTGGGCCTGGGCACACACTTGGACTCAAGTGACTTCAACAGCACGGGGAGGTGGGCACTACTGTGATCTTCACATTATAGGCAAGGAAACTGAGGCATGGAGTGGTTACAGTCACATAGCAAAACCGCAAAGGCCAGGAGCAAGTGTTTTGCTGCCTTGGAAGGCTCTGATGGGATGGCCTGAGGAAGCAGTAGGCAGCACCAGGCTCCGGGATGCCATCTCGATGCCTGCCCAGACCCCAGGGTCTAAGCCGCTCCCCGCCCAGAGGAACAGGGCTCCCAGAGCAGTGGCCGACCCCAGAGCCAGGCACAGAAAGCACGAGATGGGCCTGGAACATCCTGTGCAAGCAGGAAGTGCTCAAACGACAACGGGGACATATCAGAAGGACCCAAGCCACAGCTTGGCAGGGCTCCTGCTGCCAAAGAACAATTGGAGCCCACAAAAAGTGGAAATTGTGTAGGGGCAGGGGGTATGGTCATGGCGAAGCTTGGCAGAGCTGGTAACACAAGAGGACGGGAGGCAGGGACAGGAGATCTGTCACTATTTTACTTTTATGTATGTGTAAAATTTTCCAAAATAAAAATATATCCATAAATTCATACTGATATTAACAAAACAAAATGGAAAGAAAGGAAAGAAAAAAACCAAAGAGCTCATCTTCATTCCTCATGGAAGAAATGTCAGAATCCCAATAGAGTTAGTAAAGTCCCCAGGACTTTACTATAACTCCCCAGGTGACAGCGGACCAGCAGGGTCGCCCCTGGACAGTGAGGCCAGGGGTCAGAGGTCGCTGGGGCAGCAGAGGCCCCTTGCAGGCCCTTCTCCACACCCTCATGGTGGAGGGATCCGGGGGACTTGTCCCAACCAAGAGACCCCAATCCACGTGGCCCGCGTCTGTGATCGGCAAGAAACACACACCCGAGCACAGTTGTGCAGAAACACCAGACAGATCCAGGTGGGGGTCTCTGTATGTGACCACTGGCCTAGAGCCCTCAGAAGCCCACGCCACAAAAGCCAGAGAGCCTGTCCCAGTGTGAGGAGCCCAGAGACCTGGCAGCCGAGTGCTGCACGTGATCCTGGACCAAGGGTGGGCACTGCCCCATACTGATAAGAACATTGGGAGAGTTTCCCTACTCCACAGGCTGCGTGTGTTCAGGATTGGATTTCTGGAGTCAGAAAAAGAATGTCTTTGTGTTGGGGGAGGGCAACGTGTAAGAGAGAAAGAGAAGAGGGGAGGGAGGCGCCAGGTCTGGGTGGAGTGAGCATGGGTTCCCGGAGGCTTCCGCTTCCCAGTAGGGTTGAATTCCCAAGATGCAAACTCGGGTGGGGGCAGCCCCGAGCACTAGGATGTCACAGTCAGGACAGAGCGCTACGAGGACCACCGGCCTCTTGTTTCAGAGATGGGAGTCAAGGCCCGGGGAGGGCTGGGGGCGCCTGGGCTCCAGCGGCACTCACGCGGTGAAGCTGTGGTTGTAGTGCGCCTGGACCGGCCGGCTTCCGGCCTTGCTGCTGCTGCTGCTGCTGCTGCTGCTGCTGCTGTTGAAGCCCTTGAGGCCGAGGTACGAGGCCTGCACCGTCTCCAAGTCCTCGCCTCTCAGCTGGTACCACAGTTGCGCCGTCCTGGCGGAGAGAGTGGGGGAAAGACTTTGAGCATGCGCACTGGTCCGCGACGGCGGCAGAAACGTGCCCTACGCAGGCCCAGGCAGGGTGGCCAACCTCTGAAAGGGCCGGATGGGGGATATTTTAGGCGCTGTAAGCCGTACGGTTTCTCCCGAAGCTAAAGTCAGCCATTGCAGCTCTAAAGCAGCCAGACACCAGGAGAGGATGAATGTGCCTGTGTTCCAATAAAACTTTACTCACAAAAATAGGCGGTCGAAAGTTCTGGACGGTGCTGATCGTTGCACAACACTATGAATGTACTTAATGCCAACAAACTGTCACTTAAAGATGATTAAAATAAATTTTATGTTATGTACATTTTACCAGAATAAAAAAATATAAACAAAAAAAAAGAATAAATCACTGTGGGGAAAAAAACCCGGCAGTGGCCAGACTTAACCTGTGGGCTATAATTAACCAACCCTCGGTCTGTGGTAACAGTGACGCCCCCTGGAGCTGTGGGAGGCAAGCGCGGCAGCCCTGCATGCCACTAACACGGCAGGATGTATAGCAGTGTGTGTGCAGGTGTAAGAATAACACAACCAGGCCAGGCGCAGCGACTCACGCCTGTAATCCTAGCACTCTGGGAGGCCAAGGTGGGAGGATCTCTTGAGGTCAGGAGTTCAAGATCAGCCTGAGTAAGAACAAGACCCTATCCCTACAAAAAATAGAAAATTAGCTGGCTGAGGTGGTGTGCCCCTGTAGTCCCAGCTACTCAGAAGGCTGAGGCAGGAGATGGCTTGAGGCCAGGAGTTCAGCCTGGGCAACAGATCGAGACTGTCTCTAAAAAAGAAAAAAAAGCAACCCCCCAAGAACCCACGGCCTGGCCTGTGTTCCCCCACAGCTGTGATGCTGATGTGGGCTGGGGGCAGCACTTGGTATGATGATTCCTTTAGTAACCAGAGCTGCCCACAGGGGCTCTCAGACACCCCCACAGACAGTGCCCACTCCCAGCAGGACCCTGAGAACCCTGAGGCCACTGCACCTGTCAGAGCGCCGCCGTTCGCTCCTCTTCACGCACTTGAGGAGGCAGCAGGTGAGGAAGGCCACAGACATGAGCAGGATGATGGCGCAGCTCACAATGGAGGCGATCACAGCCACCTTGAAGCCGAAGGTCTCATGTGGCGGTACAGCTGCGCAGGAGACAACTGCCAGCTCCTGGATACAGTTCACTCAGCCCCACCAGGGGTGGGAGGTAGGGGCCCCAGGGGCCAGGAAGTCTAAGAGTGGGGTGGATGGGGTCCAGGAGTGCATGGGGCCTGGCTGGCCCTCAGTGAGTCCCATTCTATGGGGAAGGCAGTGAGACACTAGTGGCTAAGCAAAGGTCTGTGAAAACTGTATTTGGGGATGGGGATATTAGGGAAGACTCTCCCCAAGGAGGGGGCATGTTTGCTGGGTTTTCCAGGGTATATAGGAGTTTACAGAGTGGCTGATTGGAGAAGCTCTGATTGGGAGGTCAGCATGATGGCCCACCCACTGGGGCCCTGACTGAGGAACAGAGGAAGGGTGGGCCACAGACAGCAGATGACAGCAGATACAGACTGAGCAGGACTTGTCCAGTCACGGTTTGAGTTTTCACAATGCCCCAAGCTGGCAAAACCCTCCGTGCATGCACATGCCAAGTCTTAATAGGATATTCTGTGTGCCAAGAATTCTAAGGTCACTTTCTACGAAGGAGCAAATGCAAGGAAAATGCCTGTCTTGGGGGTCAAAGGTCATTTGCCACATATCAGCCTTGCGACCACAGGTATGTGCTAAGAACTAAGATTCTAAGGGATGTTCTAGGAAAGAAAGGCCCAGGATCCTAATTCGAGCAACATCATGTACTGTCCCCACACAGTGGGCATGGCTCACGTCCCCCAGCCCCCACTTCCCCTGCTTCCTAACTGGACACCGGCCCAGAGTGAAGATGATGCTTCCAAGTGGTCACATGACCACATTCTGGCCAAGGGCAGATAAGGGGAAGTGATGTAGGACAACCTCTAAGAACCTTCCATGAGACACTGGGGTGTGCCCTTTCACCCTAGGGACCCCTCGCCCCATAACAACTGCCTGGAACACAGTTTGCTGCCACCTTGGATCATGACGTTCAGGCCACACCCAACAAAGCCTTGCCAGGGAAAGGGCCTGGGTTGCACCATCATGAAGTGCCACATGAGCCCAGCTGCCTATCCTGAGGGTCAAAGCTCCATCTGGTTAACCCTATTATTCTGGGTTTTCTGCTTCTTGGACTCTAATCCTAACAGATACTTTCATTCTCAGAGATTCACCCAGCACATTATCATTTTAAAGGCTCTAAGAAGTCCTGCCTTTGCCAAAGGCATAAACCCAGCATTTGCCAAACTCTTTTGACTCTGAGCCCTTTTTATGCACAAATCACATTAACATAACACACATGGCTTCACTCTGGCAAATGACATGCTGGGCACTCAACAGGTACTATCTCATGGACCCGTGAACACTCTGTACAACAAATACAACCAGAGAACTAGAAAACCATGTCCTCCCTGAGACTGGCAGTTCCAGAGATGGGCACATCAAGGCCCTCTGTGTCCACAGTACTTTGAATTCTTGGCACACAGAATATCTTATTAAAGCTTGCCATATGCATGCATGAAAGAAAGAAAGAACAATGAACATAGTTTCCCACTTAACAGATGCCAAAGTGCCCAAGTAACCTCTAGGCAGTGAGGGGCGAACTCAGCGGCAGAGCCAGGACCAAGGCCTGCCGGGAGGCCTTGAGTCTACACTGCAGACGTGGTACTGTGGGCCAACGGCTGCTGTGAAGCAGGGAAGCTACCGACTTCCCTAAACAACAGCCCAGTGTGTGTGGACACCAACACCACCCACGTGATGGGATTTAGGGCCACCCTACCACCACCCCCCAGCCGCGGAGCTGTAGGTAGCTCAGGAGGGAGGGGGCCTTACACTTGCACACGGGGGTTCCTGAAGACCACTCGGCGATGCTCCCCTTCCAGATGCAGGTAAGGAGGCCGGACCCCACCATCTGGTGACCAGAGGGACAGTGGAAAAGAAGCACGGTCCCCAGAGAAGCGCCATCGCCACGAAGGACTTGGAAGGTGCCCTTCGGGGGCAGCGGCAGCTGAGTGCATGCGCCTAGGGAGAGAGGCAGGCAGTGAGGCGTGGCGAGCCGGAGGGGCCGGCACAGCACCAGGGAGCAGGTGGGGGCCCTCAAAGGCTGTGGGATGCTCTGGAGAAGGTCACATGGGGCCATCTAGACACTGGGACAAAGCAGAGGTGGATCCCTACATGAAGTATAATCCTAGATGCTCTGAGGATTACCATGTTAAAAAAGAAAAATAAACAAACAAAAAAACCAAGTGTTAGAAGACAATAGAAGCAAATACACATTACCTAAGCATAGCTCCAAAGACAGAAATCAAGAAAAGAAAAGGGGAAGAGATCAACAGATTTGACTGCATAAAGAGCAAAAAGCAAAAGCGTCTGCGGCTCCCTAATAGTTGAAAAACAAACACAGACTCAGATGAAAACAGTTGGCAAAGATGTTTGGAAAACATAAGACAAAGGTTCAATAGCCTTAATTTATAAAGAGATCTTATACATCAATAAAAGCTGAACATCATTTTTTTAAAAAAATGGACTGTGAACAAGCAATTTACAGGGATATAAATGGCCAACGGACATGAAAAAATGCTTATCCACAGGTAATCAAAGAAATGCTAATTCAAATGAGAGCTCATCTTTCCCTCATCGATGCAGCAAAGATTAAAAGAAAAAAAGATGACATGCAAGTCAGCCAGAGATGGGAAGTGACTCCTTCCAGACCTGGGTGTAGAGCCAAAGGTTTCTCGATGGAGTGTGATATATGCATAAAGGACCTTATGCTGTATATGCACCTGAAGATTTGGCCAAAGGAAATAAAAATCTGCCAGGATTTCTGTACCAGGATACTCACGTCAGAGCCTTACAGAATAGTGAAAAGTTGGACACTACCTATGTCTCCATGAGTAGGGAATGACTTACTAATCAAAGTATATCCAGACAACAAAATGCCATAAAGTAGTTACAATGATGTTGTCCTTAACTAAGGACACAGAGAGATATTTCAGATGCAGTGGAAATCATGAGAATTTTTATAAAATTATAAAATGTATACAATTATAGCAATGACAACAGCTGGGCCTTCTAAGGGACTTGCTGTGGGCTGGACACTGCTGTTTGTGCGTCACACGCACTAACTCATCACTCGGCCCAGCAGCCTTCCTGGGGGAACTGTCAACATCCCCATTGACAGGTGAGCAAATTGGGGCAGGGGTCTGGTATCACCTCCTGCGGTCCCACAGCTCGTATGTTGCAGGCCAGACTCAGAGCCGGGCAAGGAGGCTCCTGTGCCCATTTGTGTCTGGCTTCTCTTCCTTCGCACAGGGCACCAGATGCTTCATGTGTATCAGCAGCTGGTTTCTTTTTACAGCGGCGGAGCACTCATTGTGTGGATGGGCCTGTTTGTTCCCTGCTGTTCCCTGCATTTGAGTTGTCTCTGGTATTCAAGGATGTTCAATGAAACTGCTGAGGACATTCTGAAGCTTGTCTCCTGGTGCCCAAGTGTGAGAGGCTCTTCCTCCTGCCTCTCTGGCATTTCCTGGCTTTTGTGCATTGACACCGTAGCACTAGTGCATCGAAGGCCTGGAATAGGGAGAGCGGGTTGTGCTGATGCGTGGCGTGTGCAAAGGCGGAGAGTGTCCTGAGGCAGCAGCCATGAAGGAGCACTTGTCTCCTTCCGCACAGGCAGGGACCAAGACTCAGAGATGGGGACGATGGTAGGGACAGAGGCCAGGACACACAGAGTCCGGTGGACCCCGTTATTCCACACAGACCCATTACTACCTTCCTCTGTCCTCTATGTCTCTAGCCAAGACTGTGCCTTGGGTGCCAGGCACAGATGTCCTGCTGCCCACCGAACCTGAGGTCACCTGGCCAAGCTTCTGAGCTCCCCCAACCTACTTTTCATATGGCTTCCCCATTCTAACTTTAATTTTAATTAGTGATCCTTCCATCCTTCAGTTGCTTGGGCCCCCAACCTCTCTACCCATGACCAATTCTCTAGCAAACTACGTGGACTCTAATTTCAAAAATTATACCAAGGACATCTGCAATAGGCTGAACATCATCCCCCAAATTTATTCATGTCCATCCAGGAGCAGCTGCTTGGGCTGGCTATATGCCCAGACAAGGTCTTCATCTGCAGAGCACAGCAGCCATTTCTTACCCCACATCTAAATTCACCACTGCATCTAGAGAGGAGACAGAGGCTCAGAGAGGTCAAGCCAGCCCCAGCCACGCTGACCCTGCCCTTCTTAGGGCGCCGGTATTAACGGGGCATCAGCAGAGCCAGGCTTCAGCCCAGGGCCCTGCATTCTGCCATCTGGGAAGTGGCGAAAGCTAAGGCTGCCGGAGCTCCCTCGCCATGGCAGTCGCCATGAGGGATGGCATTTCACTGTACTTGGTCAGGTACACTGACCCACTCCCCAGCAGCACTCGGTGGCCTCCCTGCCCTTGGCCTCTGCCCCACGGAGAACCTGGGAACCTTAAGAAGCTAAGCTGCTGAGAGGAAGACTGTGGAGCCTGGGGTGGCCCTCAGGAGGGGCTGAGGCAGACCCCTGCATGGTCTGACCATGCTACTTCTGCCCTGAGGACACTTGCTAGCACAGGGTGGGTGGTAGACGGGGTGTAGCGGGTAGGAAGGGCTTATGGTTTGTGCACTTTCCTGGGAGGGATGGGGAGGCATTGACTCTGGATCAGCACAAACACTGGGTGCCTAATAGGTGCTGTACTATGTTATTGCCCTGTGAAGAGAACAGGCTATCCCCACCTTACAGATGGGGTAACTGAGGCACAGCAAGGCTCAATGACATGCCCAGGGTCACTCTGAGGGAAGGTGGTAGGGATGGAATTGAGACCCAGCACACTGTCTGGAGCTCCACCTGATGGCTAAGTCCAAGGGGAGAACCTGCCCTGTCCCAGCTCATTCTAGGTGGTGCCAATCCCAGTTCCCATCCCTGGAGGTGTCTGCCTCCAGTATCCCTTCTCCCCACCTCAGAGTTGCAGCTGGGGATGTGACCGCCATCAAAAACTATATTTTCCAGCCTGCCGTGCAGCTGGGAGCAGCCATGTGATTGAGCCCAACCAATGGGATATGAGCATGCAGCTGGGAGCAGCCACGTGACTAAATTTGGCCAATGGGATGTGAGCACAGGTGCCATGCCACTTGCGTGAGGCAAAGATGGTAGATGTGTGAAAGAGTGGCTCAACCCCTCAGATCCTAACAAGAGAGAAATAAACTCCAGCTGGAGTTAAACCACTTCTTTTTTTTTACGGGTTTGTTAAGTGGACTGACTCAGCCCTGATACAAAGCTTCAGTCAACATGTCTCAGCCCAGTGCCCTATTTAGCACTTTGGACTCTGCTGGGCCCACCCAGGTCTCCCAGGCAACAATAACAAAAGGAGAAATGTCAGTGACAATACTAACAGAAGAAAGAATAACGCCCAGACCTTACTCTGTGCTGGGCGCTGTGCTGGGCCTTCAGTCACTGTTGGGGAATAGCACAGAAATGAGCACATGGACTCCAGCCTGCGGGGCTCCTCGTCCACCTCCACCACACACAGATGGGGACCCAGGCAAGGGAGCCTCCGCCGGCCTTAAGTCAGCACAGCTGCTGTGCCCACCTCAGGCTGTTGTGAGGAGGAAACGAGGTGAAACGCTGAGGCATCCGGGAGGTGCCTGCTACACACCAGGCGGGAGCCATGGGGATCCTTGGATGAACTGCCACCCTCATTCTGCAGCTCCAGAAATCAAGGCTCAGGGACACAGCCAGCTAGTGGTTCAGCCAGGGACAGTCTTGGCTACCTGGCTCTTCATCCCCTGGTCGCCCCATCCTGTCTGCTCCTTCAGTATCTGGGGAAGGCCGGCCTCTTGCCTGGACAGGACTATTCTGACTGCTCCCTGCAGATCTTCATTATCTGCATTACTATTAACAATAATGATGCATACTTGCACAGAACATTTTGTTCAAGAAGCACTCCACATTCCTTACCTCAAGTAACACTCAACAATCCCAAGAGGACAGCAGGGAATAAATCATTATTATCACAGATGAGGAAACCAAGGCTCAGAGAGGTGGGCTGACCTGCCCAAATGCCCACTGGTAGAGAGCGGGGAAGTGGCACAGGACCCAGTGTTTGTTTTTCTTTTCTAATTTATCCATTTTTTGCTGCTATTTTTGTCATTATCTTATTAATATATAAGTGCTGTTTATATAGAAAAGATACTAACCCTCTGTTACACGTGCATTGTAAATATCTACCCCCTACTTCTTGTTCTGGTATTACACTGGGAATCTTAAACATTGACTATTCATATGCAAAAGAATGAAGTTGCACCCCTGCCTCACACCATATACAAATATTAACTTAAAATGAATCAAAGACCTAAATGTAAGAGCTAAAACTATAAAATACTTTGAAGAAAATGGTAAATCTTTGTGATCTTAGGCAATAGTTTCTTAGATATGACATCAAAGATGATAAAAGAAAAAAAAATGACCTCATCAAAATTAAAAACATCTGTGCTTCAAAGGACACAATAAAGTGAAAAGACAACCTGCAGACAGAGAGAAAATATTTGCACATCCTGTATCTGATAAGAGACATGTATCTAGAATGTATGAAGAATTATTACAACTCAATTATAAAAAGACCACCAAATTTTAAAATGGGCAAAGAATCTGAACAGGCATTTCTCTTAAAAAGATATACTAATAGTGGCCAATAAGCACATGAAAAGATTCTCAACATTATTAACTTCAGGGAAATGCAAATAAAAACTACAATGAGGTACCACTTCATCTCCACCACGGTGGCTATTCATCAAAAAGAGAGATAAAAAGTGTTAGGAAGAATGTGGAGAAACTGGAACCTCATATGCTGCTGGTGGGAACACAAATTGGTACGGTGGCTTTGGAAAATGGTCTGGTGGTTTCTCAGACAGTTAAACATAGAATTACCATATGATCCAGTAACTCCACCTGTAGGTAAACCTCCAAGAGAAATGAAAACACATGCCCACACAAAAACATATA